GGCCGCGCAGCCTCCTTCCCCAGCCGCCGCCGCGTCGGGGCTTCTGACAACCGGAAGTCACGTGAGCGACCCGGAAGTCCCGGGAACACGTGATCGAAGCCTTTTCCCGCCACCCTTAGAGGCACGGTTGCTAGGGAGACGGAGCGGTGACCCCCAGGGCCCCCTGGAAGTGTCGCGGAGGTTAGAGACGGGGAGGGCGGCGGCGGCGGGGCTCCGGGAGCAGTGGAAGGGAAGCGGCGAGGAGACGCCGCAGGTGGGAGCGGGCGAGGACGGCCTTCCGGGAGCCGGAGCCGCTCCGAGCCCGACCCGCCGGTCCTGCCTGTCCCCGGGAGCTAGAGAGGCTGCAGTTCCGCCCGGTGGTCGCGAGGGTACCGAGGGCCCCCGGGAAGTTCGGGAGAACTCCGGGTACAAGAAACCACGCAACGTTTCCAAAGCCAACAAGCAGCTTGTGTCCTGCCGTATTTTTTCTGATGCAGCTGAATTCTCAACGGTGTGGTTCAAACTCTGGGGCCGCCGGACGGGAACACCTGAGAGGACACCTGCGGTGCCAGCTGCTTCCCGCAACTGCACGGGCTCCTCGTGCGTGCCTTCCCCGCGCGACGCCCGACATTCCCAGGGCTTTCAGAGAGAGCCTGACGTCCTGTTTTGGCCTTCCACACGCGGACCCCTCAAGGGACGGTCGCCTTCCTTGTCAGCAAATACACATTCTTAAGTTAGGCCGTGACCCGGCTGCGAGGGCTCCTGGGTCCAGATCAATGGGTCCAGTATTACTGGACAATTACTACCAGGTTAGGTTACTTGCTCTGTAGAGGTGATCGCTCATGAATGGATTGTCAGTTTCTCAGCTTACATTTTTTTGAAGAAGACGGTTTAAGTGTGTTTATATGTGTGTGCTTTTAGTATAAAAACAGTGGCATCTCACAATTTCACATCTACATTAGTGAAGGAGTTGTACAAGTTGAGGGGAGGGGTGCAAAAAAAAGCAAGAGCCCTACCTCACAGTTTACTCCCAAATTCCAGCTGTAACATCTTATATTCCGTGTTTATTTTTTTTTTAAAGTTGATTCCTGGAAGAAAAAAATAGAAGAATACTTTTTTAAACAGTGGGTTATAATACTTTCTAAGAGTGACAACAAAGTCAAAAGTCATTAAGAAAATCAGGGAAAGACTATAATCAATTGGACTGTATACAATTAAGTTTCTAGATAGTAAACGTGTGTGTGTGTGTGTGTTTGTGTGTGTGTGTATAGTAATCCAAATTGAAAAGCAACTCACTCGGAAAAATGACATTTTAACATAGTCTGGACAACGGACTAGTATCTTTGATGTACACAGAATTTTTTTCTAGTGAATAGACACATTAGTAGAAGTATGAGCAAAGAACCTGAAAAGGTGATTCACAAAAAAAGTACAAAACGATGACATCTGTAAAACTATGCCCCCTAGTAATTGAAGAAAGGTATGTTTAAATAACAGTTACCTTTCAGTATTCACAATGGCAGTGTTTAAATGCATGTTATGTTGGATAAGAAGGAAGTATCTGTCATTCCTTTCTGGAGTAATGTAAAATATAACAACTTTTTGATGGACAGCAATTTGGCACAATGTAGCAAAAGTGATAAAAATAATGATCTTTTGACCCCCAAGTCTTTTTTTTTTTTTTGAGAGGATTTTGCTATAGGGCACGTGCGCTCCTCAGACAGACAGAGAGAGACAGAGAGATAGAAAGCTAGAAATCACCCCCCAGGGAGGATGGCCACACCGCTATCCCTTCTCCATTTTCCTTTCGGGATCTTGGGCATGCACGCACACGCACCCAGCGTGAGTTTTAAGCCACCAGGTCCGGGACGCGAACCGCAGTCAACTACATGGGAGTCCAGCGACACAGCCATTACGCTAACTGCTGGTCCCAAGAGCACAGCTAGTCAAGTATGGACGTGGGAGGGAGACAATGTTAATCAGCTTAACAATAATCCACAATCCTTGGACCAACTTTGACCCCCAAATCTTAAGAAACAATTTCGAGGTTTGCTTCTCATACATATTTATGGCATATATAATATATATGTGCTTTTTGCTCACAATTGGAGAAAAGTGGCAGAAATAAATATTATGAATTATGAACTAATTTATTATTAAAATAATATATCCATGTACTACTTAAAAGGTATATCAGTTCCTATCTTATACCAGGTGCTGTTTTATACAATGGCATGTTAGAATTTATTACATTCTAGTTTAGGGAAACAAATATGTGAAGTAATTAAGCAAACTTATAATGTGATGTTAGATAATGTCAGGATTTATATATAGAGAGATGTAGAAATATATCTCATTAAGGAGGAATAGGGACGGCTTTATTTATTTATTTATTTATTTATTTATTTTGGAGAAGTTTTTGCAATAGGGTGCGTGTGCTTGCCAGAGAGAGAGACAGAAAGCGAGAAATCACCCCCCAGGGGGAATGGCCATGCTGCAATCCCTTCTCCATTCTCCTCTCAGGATCTTGGGCATGCATGCACAGGCACCCAGCAGGTCCAGGACTCGAATTGTGGTAAACTACATGGGAGCCCAGCAACATAGCCATTGCACTAACTACTGGTCCCTAGATTAGCTTTTTTAGAACAAGGAAGTCCTCTTTGAAGAAGTGGCCTATGAGCAGGATGAAGTGAGAGAGTGACCCATGTGTGAGTATCTGGGAGAAAAGTTTCTTCCAGGCAGAGAGAAGCACAAGGCCTTGACATTATAAACTAGCAAGACCATAAGCAAGGATGACAGGGATAGAAAATGAGTCACAGAGTCTACCAGCCGGTAATGACTGGTGATGGACAAAATTTAGGTCCTCTAAGAACAGAGGAGTGTGTTGACCTTATTGATATTTTACAAGGATCAGCCTGGTCTTTGCCTGGGGCAAGGGTGGAGGCCTCCTCCATTTACTAAGCCAAGCCAAGCTGTGGAAGCAAGAGATAGAAGTAACTTGGGGAAGTGATACTGGTGGAGGTGAGAAGAGCTTAGAGTCAGGATGTGTAGATTACATTACAGCTGAATATTTAACGACACGAAAGTGTGTATGTTAAATTAAAAACATGCAGTGTGATCTCACTGAAAAATCATGAATAAGGGGCCAGCAGGTGGAATGGTGGTTAAAGCTTCCACATGGCAGACTGCAGTTCGAGTCCAGGACCTGGTGGCTTGCTTTCTCACGTTTTCTCTCTCTCTCTCTCTCTCTCTCTCTGGTGAGCACATGTACCCTATAGCAACTAAAAAATAATAAGTAATAATAAATCATCGATAAAATACATACATACACAGTACAAACACATATGTCAAAATGATTATCATATGTCCAGGTATGGGTTAGCAAAGCTTTATTTTTACTTCATTTTCTGTCTTTTACAAAGCTCAACTTTTTGGGTTGACTCCATGGCCTCCTGTTGTTTAGGCAGTTGGATCCCACATGGCCACTGTGGTTTGAGTCCTGGATGGAGGCTTGAAGATCCCACCAGGTGAGTGTGTCTGCCCAAAATATGGATGAGACAAATGAAAGAGATGGGATTTTTGGCATGACCATCTCCATAGGAAGTGCTTTCTTACTTTCCTTCTCTCTCTTTTGCTCTCTCTCTCTCTTACCCTAACAAGCACACGTGCCCACTAACAAACAAATTTTAAAAAACTAAAAGGAGGGGGAAATGGATGAGAAGTAATTGCAGTGACTTACTCCATAGGGGATGTTTTCTCCTCTGTCTGTCTCTAATGAGCACCCTGTAGCAAAAATAAAAACAATAAGATAATAAAAATAAGTAAAAGCTCAGTTCTTCTTTTCCCTAAGAATTATTTTAAAAATTAAGGAAATTAGAAGAGCAGACTAAATTATGGGATGACACAGGAATAAATATCTGTTTGGATTACAAAATCTGTTGATATAATTTAATCAGCAGTCTCTAGTTCTTTAAAAAACTTCTATATCTTAGATTTCTTTGAAATATTCTGTCTCTAGTTCACTAACAAACTTCTATATCTTAGATTTCTTTGAAATATTTCTAAAATAATGATGTTGAAATGATCCAGGGTTTATAGCTTCAAACTAATTTGAGAAAGTCATAACACTGGAATTAAAATACAGATTTAAAAAGTGGCTGACATGCATTTTATGAGACTTAACAGCTAACATTTATGTTATCTTTTGTAGCATAACAAATTACCCCAATTTCAAATTCAGCAGTTTAAAACAACTTTATTATTTCACAGTTTCTATAATCCAAGAAGTGGAAAGTGGCTTAGTTCTGGGGGTCTAGAATAGATCTTTTATGAGCTTTCAGTTAAGACTTAAACCTAGGGTGCAGTCATTTAAGACTTGACTGAGTTTGATGACAGCTGAAGGATCCCTTTCAAAGATATCTCACTCAGATAGTTCTACATGAAATGTCTCCATTTCTTACTGATTGTTGTTAGGTTTCAATTCTTTGCCTCATGGAGCTCTTCTTGGACTGTCTTGTGTGTACTTATGACAAGACTGCCACATGGCCAACCATGGTTAGAGTCTTAGACCTGGCAGTGTGCTTTCTCACTTTTCCTCTTCCTCTCTGTCTCTGCCTGGTCAAGTTAAAACAAATTAATAAGATATTATAAAATATATTTATTTAAAAATTAATAATTTTTAAAATTATTTTATTTATTATTATTATTTGAGTTTGCTACAGGACACGCTGGCCTCTTGTCCCCATCTTCTAAAGCAAGGATTATAAATAATTTCTGTTTATATTTTAAAGCCACCACAATATTAAACCATTACATAACAATGGATAGAGGATATTTATAGGCACCAAAAACTAAGAATTAGAAACTTTTGCACACAATTTTTAACAGAATGATATATTTTAATTTTTTTCTTAGTAAATAAATTTGAAAGATTAATTTTCTTTGAAAATAATCATAGCTATAAATATAACCCCATAATAGCTTATCAAATACCTTTCTTTTTAGAGGTCTTTGCCTTAGGGTGTATGTGCTTGCCTGAGAGAGAGAGAGAGAGAGAGAGAGAGAGAGAAGTCACCTCCCAGGGTGGATGGCCACACTGGAGTCCCTTTTCCTTCATTCTACTCCTGGGATTTTGGGCACACGCACACATGCCCTCAATGTGAGTTTGAAGCTACCAGGTCCAGGACTCCAACCATGGTAGGCCATCTGGGAGTCCAGTGAAGTAATCTCTATGTCATCTGCTGCTCCCAACTTAATAAATATATATTTTTTAAATCCAGTGATTATTCAGTAAGGCAAGTGAAAATGAAAATACTGCTTGGACAGTTTTTAAGAACTGCCACATCTGGCTAGTGCATGTACTCAAAAATCTCTCTTAAAAAAGAAAAATAGAAAGACCTACCAGAGTGTTATGTCCCTGTCAAACAAGAGCAAGGAACAGGCAGGTTTCATTTATGCAACCTTTTATTCAGAAATTCAGACCCTTGGTGAATTAAGCTCACGGGATAACATAAAAATCACATTGTTACTCAAGTGTTCATAGAGCAACATCAAATACCTATTGAGTGTAGTTTCTATTAGGTATTGTAAGGCAACTATATGCTATCTTTCAGGGTTATTTATTTATTTTGGAGAGATTTTTGCTGTAGGGCGCATGCACTCGCCAGAAAGAGAAAGATAGAAAGCAAGAAATCATCCCCCCAGGATGGATGACCACGCTGCTATCCATTCTCCTCCTTTCTCCTCTTGTGATCTTGGCACACACACACGCACGCCTGGTGTAAGTTTACACCACTGGGTCTGGGACTAGAACTGTGGTCGACTACAGGGGAGTCCAGCAACACAGCCATTATGCCAACTGCTGGTCCCAAGGTTATTTATTTTTTGAGACAGAGAGAAGCACCCTCCACAGAGTCTTGCACTGCTATTCACACCCCCTACCCTGTCTTTCCTAGCCAGCCAGGGTCATGGGCATACCCTTGTGTGCCTGGCGTGTACAAATCAAATATGAGAACTGACCTCTGATCTTCCATATGACTTCCAGCTTTGTAAGAACATTGTGCTACCCCTGTGGCATCACAGCTGGGCCTATATACTACTTTAAAATATGGAATTTAATGATATTTAAAATATCTTACTTTAAAAATAAATTGAAATGACTAAATTAAAAAACATTTTAGAAACAATTCAACTTTTTGCTGTTGTTTGTACAAATGATGTGATATAACAATACATTATGATAAATTTGACCCTGATTACACTGTGAAGAAAGTGAGCAAAACACACTGAATATCAATACTTAATGAGATGCCCATAGTAAATTAAAGTGAGTAAAGGTGGTGGTTCTTGTATTTTTTTTTTTTTTTTTTAGAATTTTTTTGCTATCGGGCATGTACGTTCACCTACAGAAAGAGAGAGAAAGAAAGTAAGAAATCACCCCCCAGGGGGATGGCCATGTTGTAATCCTCCTGCATTCTCTTCTTGGGATTTTGGGTATGCATGCACACACACCAATTTATGTTAAGGGATTATGGTGGGCCAAATTATGGGATTCAATATGGAAGAGATGGGATTTTGGTTTGACCATCTCCATAGGGGGTGCTTCCTTACTATACAACACACTCTGGTAATGGCCTCAGTTGACTAACAATGCGTTTTGTTAGCAGATGTCATTTGTTAATAGATGTGACCCAAGCACATCTTTGCTCAGTTGGCTGGCTCTCTGGCTTTCCACCATCACCAGGAGAAGCACTTCGTAAGTAACCACTGCCCTTCACCCTCAACTGCAGAATAAGACCCATGGAGCAGACTTTAGCTCACCTGGCAGGCTTAAGGCAATCCCAGGTGAGCCCAGCCAACATCACTAAACATCATGACATTGTTTGGTGGTGAACTCCTGAGTAAAAATGTAGGTGATTTTTATATTATCCTATGAGCTTAATTCATTTACTGTCTGAATTTCTGAATAAAATGTTGGCATAAAGAAAACCTGCCTGTTCCTTACACTTACTTGACAGGTACATAACACTCTCTGATAGTTCTTAAAAACTGAGTATGGGGAGTCAAAGAGGAGACATGAGGAATGTGCAGGACCACCAGCATAAGACCAGGGTCTTTATCCGGACATGACCTTGGGTGGCTGGATTGTTATGAGCAGAATGTCTTGGGATTGTTTTGAACTGAATGTTCCAAAGTATTGTTATAACAACCTGATAAATTCAGTAAGGACTTAAAACCTTACATCACAGAAGCAATAAAGTACCTTCAGGGCTGACCAGTATTGACTGGCAGTCCTCCTGTTTCTATCCTGTCTTCTTGTCTTTTCTTTAATCCTCGCCCCCCAACTTAGGAAATGTTGGCTGTTGGTGGGTCCAACACTGAGGCAACCGTTGACTAACAAATGCTTAAGCAGATTTTTATTGGTGAATTTTGTTTCTGAAGAATTATTTTACTTTATTATTATTTTTTGCTACAGGGCATGTGTGCTCACTAGAAGAAGAGAGAGAGAGAGAGAGAGAGAGCAAGCTGCCAGGTCCAGGACTTGAACCATGGTAGGCCATGTGGGAATTCGGCTGCCTTGCCATCTGCTGGCCTGGTGAATTTCATTTTTAAAGTAGTCATTATGTGATTAAATACTATTGAGGCCAGCAGGTGGGGTGGTGGTTAAGGTGTTGGACTCCCATATGGCCAACTGTGGTTCATGTGGACCTGGTGCCTTGAAAATCATGCTGAGTGCATGCGTATGTGTGGCCATAATCTTGAGAGGAGAACAGAGGAGAAGGTATTGCAGGGTGGCCATCCCTGCTGGGGGATGATTTCTTACTTTCTCTCTGTTGCACTGTTGCTAGGACACGTGCCTTATGACAAAAATCTAAAAACAAGATTAGATACTATAATCGCAAACATGACAACTAATTTGCATAAAAATAGAAATCTTACCTCAGTAAGTTTACAAATGCTGTGAAAAGCAACTCATTGGTGCTATTAATAGAATTAATTTGAATAAAAACAATGTAAATATTAAGATGTCAAAAAAGTCATGATGTATTTTTTTAAATGTTTTTTAATGCGAAAATGAGTCATGACTTTTCCCACAACCCAATATCTTAAATCCTTGCTTTATTTCTGGTTCTAATGAACTTTCACAAGGCAAATGACCAGTTAAATGTCATATGAGTTTTACTTACCTTTTAAAGAGAAGAGAAGGAGAAAGAAAAGCGAGGAGAGAAGTGAAGGAGAGAAAGAGGAAAAGAGAGAACGCAAAGCGGATCCTCATGCAGTGGCCCACCCACAGTCGCAGCCAGCATCCACAAGAGACGCCTCAAGACATGAACTCGGGACTTTCCCATGTGGGTGCAGCGTCACAGATCTTTGAATTACTGCTGTGCCACTGCTGGTCCATTATTAGTGTTGTTGTTGTTGTTGTTTTTTCCTTTGGAGAGATTTTTGCGATAGAGTGTTGTGTACTCACCAGAGAGACAGAGATAGAAATCAAGGAATCAGCCCATCTCAGGGGGATGGCCATGCTGCAATCCCTTCTCCATTCTCCTCTCAGGATTTTGGGCGTGCACATACACAAGCCTGGCACGAGTTTTAAGCTGCTGGGTCTGGGACTTGAACTGCCGTTATCAATGTGCAAGTCCAGTGATGTAATAGGACCATCTGCTGGTCCCTAGTAGTGTTTTGTTTTGATTTTTAAAAATCGTTTTTCCTTCCTCCCTCCCTCCCTTCCTCCCTTTCTTTCTTCCTTCTTTCCTTCCTTCCTTTTAATTTGACCAGAGAGGGGCAGAGTAAGAGAGAAAGCAAGAGAGAAAGTGAGAAAGCAAGCCGCCAGGTCAGGGACTCAAACCACAGTCGGCCATGTGGGAGTCCAGTGCCGTTAACCACCACATTGCCTGCCAGTTCCTGTAAGTGTTTTTAAATTATATTAGAACTAAATAATAGAGAAAACCTGAGATTTTCATCAGTCGAAGAGAGAAAGGAGGAGCCAGCAGTGGCAGGGATAAGCAACGTTCTTCCATACTAGCCCACATGGGTTCATGTTGGGAGGCTCCCTGTGCCCTGATTTGGCCTGACTGAGGCGGGGGATGCATCGTCTTGTGAGGACTGTTGAGGAGGGTTTCCATCTTTTGCCTTCCCTCTACCTCTGCCTCTCTTCATGGAACAAATTAATAAACCTTATAAAAGTAAAAAGTACTCAGAAGAAGTGTAAGTGCTCAGCAAGATTAGAGGGTATGTGATATAAATTATTTACAAATTAAGTTAAACAGCCATTGATAAATCTAAACTGGTATCACAGAACTTAAAAACTAGTAAGAGGGACCAGCAGGAGGGACAGTGATTAAGACACTGGACTCTCACATGGCCAGCTGCGGTTCAAGTTGTGACCTGCTGGCTTGAAACTACCACTGGGAGCATGTGCAAATCCCAGGCGGAGCATGGAGAAGGGAGAGCGATTTCTCACTTTCCCTTTCATTGTCTCTCTCTAGCAAGTGCACACACCCTACGGCAAAAACCTACAAAACAAACAAACAAAACCAGTAAGAAACCATTATATAAAATTTATTAAGTTATAAAATCAATATTAATTCCAATGGAGCGGTTAAAATTCATTAATATTTTTTGATAGGTCTTTTTCGTGTGATTCACTTTTGATAACAGATTTTATTTTCCCCTTTAGAAAATCAATTGGTGGGACCAGCAGTTGGTGTAATGGCTGTGTCACTGGACTCCCATGTAGTCGACCGTGGTTCGAGTCCCAGACCCGGAGGCTTAAACTCACGCCAGCTGTGTATGCGTGCTCAAGCTCCAGATGGAGGAGAAGGGATTGTGGTGTGGCCATCCCTCCAGGGGGTAATTTCTTGCTTCCTGTCTCTTTGTCTCTCTCTCTCTTTCTGGGAGTGCATGCGCCCTATAGCAAAAACCCCTTTAAAAAAAAAACAAAAACAAACAGAAAATCAATTCTTATCTAGGAAGCTAATTGCATTTTTACAGACTATCTGGAAACATGACAGTGAAGATGCTAATGGCCTTGATTGCAAGCAGAATAAAGTAAAATGAAATTTGGAATGTAAATAAACTGGAGAAGAAAAGCTTAAAGTTTTAGAAACACAATTAAAGAAAATATAATACACATTTTAAGTTCTAATGTTTTAATCTCTCTCGTAACTTTTTAAAAAAATCCAAATATGTTGGGACCAGCAGTTACATAATGGCTATGTCGCTGGACTTCCACGTAGTCGACTGTGGTTCGTGTCCCAGACCCAGTGGCTTAAAACTCACGCCGGGCGTGTGTGCATGTGTGCCCAAGATCCCGAAAGGAGAATGGAGGAGAAGGGATTGTGGCGTGGTCATCCCCCCTGGGGGGTGATTTCTCGCTTTCTGTCTCTCTGTCTCTCTCTGTCTGTCTGGCGAGCGCACACACCCTATGGCAAAAACCTCTCCAAAAAAAAAAAAAATTTCAAGCCCTGCACCTGATGGCTTGCTTTCTTACTTTCCCTCTCTCACTCTGATAAAATAAATGAATGAATAATTTTTAAAAATTAAATAATTATTTAAAAATAAAAATAACACTTGTAAAATATATGAAGTTGCTCGTCTATTGGCAGACAGGAATTCTACAAGAATTTAAGTTACATCATTTTATTGGATGCTCTTTTCAAAAAGGCAATTTTTGGTTAAAATTCGCCTCCTTGTGGTTGGTACGTGGCAGAGCACCTTGGCTGCTTTCTTTACCATTGGCCAGTGCTGAGTAATTGTGTACGTAAAAGGAGCTCACGGTGAAAAAACACAGCACCTTTGTATAGCAAGCGTCCTGTTTTGCTTTTTGAATTTAGAATTTTGGGGGAGTCGGGGTAGGTATTGGAGGAAGCATTAAAACTTCAAGGAGACCCTTAGCACTGCCAAGCTGTTTCTCGCCGAGGCTGCCGCCAGGTTTTCAGAGTAGGTACAGTATTTAAAATGAATAATTACTATTGAATATTTGCTTTATGATTGCATTTTAAAAGTCTTTCAGGCCGCACTGCATTTACTCTTTGGAAACGGAACACGAAAGTGGTGGAGGAGGGTTAGGGCAGGTGGAATTTCGCTACCAGTCCTGATTGGCTGACGCAGGGCGCGCGAACGCTAGATAGTCCCGGGGCTCCAAGGGCGACTCCCACAGCGTCCTTAGCAACCAGCCTCGGTCTGCAGCAGCCGCGAGCGCGGGTGAGTCTCTGTGGTCCAGCTTCTGCCGGCTCGGGAGCGCAGGTTATTGCCACGTCTCCCACGCCAGGCAACTGCGAGTCCCGGATGACCCTCGCCTGGGGCTCGGAGCCCCCTTTCTAAGGAACGAGCCGCCCTGGCTGCTGGAAGTAAACAGCTCCTTGCGCCCAGGCGGGGCGGGCCAGCCCAGCCCCTTCGCGCCGCCAGCGCTCCGCAGAGGTAGGGCTCCCTGAGCCTCGGGAGCCTCTGACGGCCCAAGGGAGGCGGGGCCGCTCTCACAGCGCTACCGGAAAATTCGCTTCGCTTCCTCCGGGCAATCCTAGTTCAGAATTACACTTGCTCTGCGGACGATCTCCACATCTGTAGTTGATGAAATGGGACTTTTTTTGTACACTCTTGGATTTCAAAAGTGAAAGTTCAAAAGTTTGGTTGTGTGTGTGTGTGTGTGTGTGTGTGCGCGCGCGCGCGCGTGCGTGCAAGCTTGCGCGTGTGGTCGGGGCCGGAAGGGGGCGCATTGGGATGTGAAATAAAAGCGGGTTTTTTTTTTCTTTC